AGTACAAAAATTCTGCGTACCCGTATAATTGTGTCTCATTTTATGCATCAAAAGAAACATTACGTGTTTAATATTAAAATCATACTCGACAAAAGAACGAAAACTTCCATTCGGCAAAGCCAATAAATTCTAATTCTAGAAAACGGAGGAACTACAAACAGAAGGAAGACCCGTAGAGAATCCCACATCCGTAAGAAAGTTTCCTCTTACCAATAACTGTTCTTCACCATCGAAAGATAAGAACAATGAAACTAAAGAAAGAAATCCCACAGTTCCGACTAGATATAGTACATGTGGGTAAAAAATATCAAAATCCCCGTCGCAAGTACAGATATGCAAGAAGAGGATCTGTTCTTGCGGAGGAGAGACTGGCGTTAAGATGGCCGTCGGGAAAGCGGAAGAGGAAGAGGCGGAATCAGCCTGTGTGTGAAGAATCTTACTGAGCGTCCGCGGTGCGTCCGAGCAGGAGGAGAAGCACGACCGAGGAAAGGATTGCGGAGATCATGCCGCCTCCATGCGTCTCGTCCATCGACATTCTTCGTCGATCGCTTCTCAGCGCATCTTCCTCGCAGTAGAATGAGTCAACGACGAAGCGTGAACTTCCCTGAACGCGGGGAAGGCGAGAGACGAACGAACGACGAAGGGGAAGACGAAACGAAAAAGAAAAGAATAAATAGGTGTTGTTCGTCGTCGCAGCCGTTGATCGAGAAGACAGGCTCTCTCTCTCTCTCTCAGCTGACGATAGCGAGCGGCCGCCTCTTTCTTTCTTTCTTTCTTTCTTTCTTTTTGTTTCTCTTCTCTCTTCCCCCTGATCGTTATTCTCCGAATCGCGGAGGACGTGCAACTGTCGACTGACTTCTTCAAACGACTTTGCCGAAGCTGCAGAATCCTCATCGTCGCTTCGTAGAGAGGCAGAGGTGGAGGTGGATGCTCGTTGGTAGCGGCGGTGGTGGTAGCGACGGAGGTGGTGGACCAGCAAGCACCGCCGCCGAAGCCACACACCGATATATACCACCTCGTTCGCCACCCCGCCGCTTCTTCTTCTCTCTTAACTCGATACAGAGGGATGAAGAAACCGGGGGAGGGAGAAAGAAGGGGTAACTCTCTCTCGCGTGCTTGGCGACGTATAGAGAAAAACGAAGACAGGCTTGGGTTCGAAGAAAGGGTTGAGAAAGAGAGAGAGAGAGAGAGTAGCAGAAAGCGAGGATCGGCGGTGACGAAAGAAGTGGTGGTAATCCCCGGTGGGTCCGTAAAGCGTCACGAGATGGTTCCAACGACACGAATTTACCCCAATGCGGCATGTTCGTGGCATCCTCCGTTTCAGATGGATGCTGTAATCGCGCGCGATTCCCAACACACTCCAATCACACCACCGCATGCTAATTGTCACGATGACTGTAAGTACGGGAGAAGAATAACGCTGAATGGGCGAGGGGACGCGGAAGGGAATCGCGTACGCATCAACGGAGTTATTACATCTCTTCCTGTTAGATTTATCTGGAATTTTGATCATCTTGCCGAGACGAGTAAAATTCCTTCTCGTTAGATTTGCCTTTTGAAAAAGGATATGTAGATTGAGGGTATAGAAATTTTTAGAGGGGAAATTTCAAGGATACTTAGATGAAGGGGAAGGAAAAGAACGATTTAACTGTATATATGTTTCAATTATATGGAGAATCGAATCCACCACTCAGTTTCTTACACAGGCTGATTGATGAAACAGCACGAATTAATTTCTCGTGCTCAACTTTCTATTCTGTTCTTTGTTCACAAGAGCCATCGTATCTAAAAACAACACGGTGGAAGCGTTAGTGAAGCAACTAAATTGTTATTATCGCTGGAGATTCATTGGCAGAATTCATTGCTTCGCGATAAAAACGTGGTCCATTCGTTAGAATTCTCTACGGAGATGCGCCACTACGTAACGAGTGGTGAAGAGCAGAATATCAAACCACCACTTTCTTTGATGTAGTTGCAACTTGAAGACTTGAATAAGCAACAACCACCTTAGTTCCTACGTGTTTTTCTCTTTTTTTTTTTTTTTTTTCAAGAAGACCTCTAAGAACGAAAAAGAAAAAAATAATGAAATATTTAATGTGACGTGGAGTCATTTTTAATTGATGTAGATATGCAAAGTAATACATTTATTAAAATCACAGTAAAATCACGATTTATCATTTATTCTCTCAATATAAGAAATACTCCCTCTACTTTTAATCATCAATGATCAATTCCTTGGATTATGAAATGCAATCAAAGAGTGCAATTAGAGGTTTTTTTCAAAGATCAAAAAGACTAAAAAAAAAAAAAAAAAAAATAATCAAGTACGACACATATTTTTCTTCAAAATAAGAAGATATATAATTGGAAATTGTCCTTAACCACGGCCAAGGCAATGAATTTCGTTTACCGCATAAATGCATTCATAGTTTGAGAAATGTGAAGGAAAGGATGGTCTCCCATTATGACTATTTCTCAAACTCTCGAAACCAAGTGCCAGGCGATCATCGAAAATCGAAGAGACCGAATTGACGAAGAAACGAAGCCAATGAAAAATTGAACGATGAAAACACGGGAAAGAGGAAAGAAGAGAACAGTGGAGAGGAAGAACGTCACCGACGTCGACGACGACGACGACGAGGAGGAGGAGACAGCAGAAGAATCACGGTGGAAAGGAAAGGATCCTGCAATCTCTCCTCTCGCTCCCGCCACTCTTCTTGAGGGTGACTCTCAGAGACGTTAACTACCGTGCTATTTGAAGACATCGTCGTCGACCGACGGGACACGCCGCTCGATATATCGATCCTCGAAAATTGTGCCGCGAATAGAATGCTACGTGTTCGCGTCGCTCGTGCATCGTGAAGTGGCCGCTCTTCGAGAACGTATATATACACGCATTCTTTGCTCGCGCGCACACATACACACGTTCGCTCGTTTCCTCCCGAAGCTACGTGTTACTTACGTGTCTTATAAGCCACGCTGGACACTTGCTAAATATAAGCTTCGTTAAATCGGACTTACCACAAAATTCCAATTCTGACGACTTTTGATCTGTTGAAATTAAAAACAACGCTCTTCCTTGTGATATTGGTCAGATTCTTCGAGACTCGGATCATGTGATATAAATCGATGTCCTTTGGGTATCGAAAGACATCAGTTACACTGTCTTGAGAATTCGTGGCCACTCTCAGGTTTCTTATTTCTTAATAACCATTATTCTCATTAAACGGATGATACTGACGAATATCATTAACAGTGGAGAACCATGATCAGCGTTCAATCTTGAAACGATACTTCTTTACCACGTGACACGTGAGGATGAAGCCGTGGCCGGTCTCATTAGTACCGTCACAATTATATATTATCTGCTTCCAGTAACTTGATGTTCTACGTAGAATCGTAATTCGTGTCACAGCCACGTTCACAAAAAAATTTCCGTGACCGAATTCTGATAGATTCATACTTACACGGTACGTTCAACCCTTGAAGGGCTGGCTGAATTTTCTCGTAGAAATGTTAGAAATCTCATTATTTACTCGATCTTATTTATTAAAATAATTCTCGAACACCTGAAGTTAGGTGTTTCGAGAGCAGCACCCCATGAAAAATAGAGTATAAAAATCGTTGAAAGAGAAAATTAGCGTCATCAATGTAATTAAATTAAACAACACTTGTTCAGAGCGAATTTACACTTACCTTGACCTCGTAGTATTACCTTGAGAATGATAAGAACGAATTCCTTTTCCCTTCGCTGATTCTAAGTCGTAGTATCGACCAGTCTCTTTGAAAAGCGCGTTTCCACAATGCCTTTCTAATTGTCGAGTGCTGGACGCGATATGGCAACACATTGGCGCAGACGTTGAGCTGCGAGATGAACTCCTTTCGAGAACGAAAATTATCGAGAGAAATTGAAACTTTAATATTCCTTCCTTCGGGCGAGGGGGAATTTTATTGGATTCCTCTTGAAAATCGATATAATTAATCGCAGACTTTTAAATCTCATTCTACGGTACATTTTCTCTCGTCAAATTTCTAATTTATTCATTTCAGCTTGTGTTAAAAAGTACGAATAAGCAGTACGAGTGAACAGGAGCAAGATATACAAGATATAGATTCCCAGAGCGATGTATCCTCCTCACGTAGCCCGAAGGATTCCCTTATTTCGTTGGAATAAAAACCGACATTTTATCCGGTATTCGCAACAGCAAGATGACAAGCGTGACACATGCCAAATATCGGATATATATTTCGATGCGTCTGACGACGTCATTTTTCGTCGTACTGACGTCGATACTGCAGCTGACTGCCGTTGAGAAAGGAAAGAGCGGAGAAATGGATTGCTGAAGGAGCGGTTCGAGTGGTTCACGGCATTCTGCTATTCCCAGTGGCGTTGCAGGCCCAATGACCTGATTGTCGAGGTAAAAAGAAGCTGCTCTCGATGGTTCGTTACCACGAGCTCCTCCGACACGAGGATCATGTCTGCGGTATTTCCAACAGGGGAAAGTGTCTCCGCCACATTCGAATACGGATTCATCTTTCTTTCTTCGACACCGTTTCTTCATCCGTGTAGCAATTTGTTCACCACTTCCAACGACGAGAGCGTGAATTGGAAATCTTAAAATCAAAGGGGGGGGGGGAATACGCGGAGAGAAAGCTTGGACGATTGATTGTAGGATGTGTGTCGCAAAGTTGTTTGTCACCTTTCTCTCTAGTTGGTAATTTGATGTGATCGAGAGGTGCATTTTGTAAATTATTATTTCTGAATTTCCTTTTTGTGTTCGTTTTATATTATTTTTCAATTTCCTATCTATTTTTTATGGAAAGTTCTCAACCCCCCTGCGCAGGGAGAATATATTCCAATTATTCGAGATGAATTATTCCTTAGGTTTGTATAGTTTTTAGACTATTTTTTTTTTTTTTTGATATTGTCCTTTAGGACAAACAACACGAGGAGAGCTCTGTGTGTATAAAAAGGTCCCAGAGCTCTCCCAATGTGCAGAGGACGGCCATCGTGGAGGTTTTAGTCGGTAAAAATCCGACACTAC